ACCCCCGTGAAATGGTCGATCGACCCCAAATGGGGTCCCGACCCACAGGTTGAGAACCACTGCTCCAGAGCCTTCTCCAGCGCCACAATTTGAAATTCTTCGGCGCTCAGCCTTCCTTAGGGCCCAATTCTCAGAGCCACACATCACTGCTGGGAAAACCAGAGCTTTGACAATACGGACCTGTGTCGGCAAGGTGACGGTTCCGCTTTTCAATATGCTGTCTTAAGTTTGCCATAGAATTTGGAATTGCAGCCCTGCAAATGTAGCTTATTCAGCAAACAATGACGCAAAGTTGCTGGTGAAGAACATCGTGCTTGATGTAAATCCAGTCATTGGAAAGAGGCTTTGGTAAGCGGGGGGGGGGGGAGAGATGAGTCAGGGGCTGCAAGAAAAGCTTGGGGGCCAAGAATAGCTAACCGGAGGTGTTGGGGTTCAGCGATGGACAGAAGACGGGGAGGCCGAGCATGGCTGCCGGAGGGGCCCCTGGTGCAGAAACGCCTGTTGGGTTCTTTTTCTTCCATCAGAGTGAAGCTTCGGGGGGGGGCGTTTGGGCACTGTGAATTCAGTGGCTGTTAATTACCTTGTTGGCTTGTTGGCTTCTGAGGGCCTGCCATTGCCTGCCTGCCTGCCTGCCAGACAGATTTTGCACTTGGCACTCTCACACCCAGATCTATGTGTGTGCACACAATTCTAGGTTAAATAAAGGCTAGGTTAAAAAGTGGGAGGCTGCAGGTAACGTAGCTGTGTGGCTCTTTCCCTCTCCCTCCATCACTGTCCCTCCCTCCCTCCCTCCCTCCCTGCCTCCCACAATGCCAGGACTTCTGCCCTTTGAACCCCCAGAAGAGCCCCATGAATGCGAAAGCAGCTGATGGCTTTTGGTCCTCGATACGCCTTTTAAGGACGGATCGGTGTCCACCACCGCCAGGAGAAAGGGAAAGGCAGCCATCCAACAGAGAGAGCAACCTTTTTCTTCTTCCTTCCCCCAACAGAGGGCGCCTGGCCTGAGCCCCCAGCCCAGAAAGCTATGAGGAGATGACAGAGGCTGCTCCAGGCTCTTTCTGCCCCCCAGGAGACCCACCGGCGGAGGCCGAGGGGTCCCCCCACTGCAACCCTAGAGAAAGGGTTCCACAGAGGTGCCCAAAGCAAGATGCCCTCCCCCTCCAGAGATCTGGGTTGAAGGGGAGCCTCCCCCGCTGATTGTCTGGAGGAGGGGAAGTGGAGGCGGGCAGCCCTAGTGCATTGCCTGGGCTCTTCCTGGCCGTGAGACCGGCTGCAGATGGCAGGCCTGGGGATTGGGCCTCATCCCTGGCTTGGCTGCTGCCTTCCTGGGAGGGGGGGCTGCCTCTGCCTCTAGAAACCAGGTGGGAGGAGGGCAGCTCTTGGTGTCCTCCTCTGGGAGCCCCCCCCATTGCAGGCCAGAGAGGGTGGGGCTGCTGCTGGATCTCAGAGGTGGCCCCCCACCCAGAGCCTCCTCCCCCTTCTCCTTGTTAGGCTGTCAGCCC